AAATCTTGAATGGACTGCAATCCACAAAAGCATCCTTACATAAAGTCAAGAAAAACATAAGCTCTCTTCATTTATCAGACAGTGCAATTGTAAGCTCTTTTAGCCATAAGAATTTCAAAAGCTTCTACCTACAGTTTAACAAAACACCTATTCACCAGTCTAGGTACTCCTGTATAACACAAATGGTAAAATGAGCTTGGCAGACATTTAGTCCACTGCTTATATCAAAGATAAAAAAAAAGAGACAGCTAACTTTATAGAATAGAGTGGTTCCTCAGAACAGGACTAGCACACAAGGARTAAATAATATCATTAACTTAATGACTAATAATACCTCTACTGTGGGGAAACTGTTTAGATATTTAGAAATTGGAATTCACTAGTGCACCAAATTTAGTTGTAATAAAAAATACTCCCAAAGGAATCAATTATAGATATTACCCAAAGGACAAATACAGACTTCATGTAGGTTTAAAAAGAAAAGAAAATCGCTAATCTTCTTTGAATTGAACCATTAAATCCTTTCGGCTCTATAGTAAAAATGCATGGTCATAAATGCATACATATACAAGTATGTTTTTAAGTTTTAATTCTAGTTCATTCGTCCTATATATATACATGTCCTTTCAAACATTCAGAAAATACTACACTTATATACACTTATATACACACTACAATACTAAGTTACTRCACTTATTATATATGTGCTCTTACTGGCTTGTTTCATCCCTCTTCCAGAACCAAGTAGCTCTCGTGACAACAATTACACTGAGGCTGTGCCAGCTGTAGAAGACTCTACAAAGGAACGCTTCAAGTTTCTCATATGTTTCCAAGCGTGCCTGTGAGGAAGCTGTGCTTGTGCAGAGCCTAGTTCCTCCAATTCACAGCCTAATGATCTGTAAAACAGCACAAACTTAATTACAAAAACTGCAAAGACCAGAATAGGGACTGTTCTATGGCGTTTTTTGCAAACAAGAATCAAAGCCAAAAAAAAAAAAAAAAAAAGTGCCTGCTGGCCCTGGTCCTACAGTTGTTTGCAGTGTGCGCTCTGTGGCAAAGGACCGCGCTCCGAGCAGCAGCCCAGTCCTGACGCCGCTTCCGCGCCGCCCTGGGAATGAGCTGCGGCRGTGGAGCGCACAAAGGGAGACCTTGGAAGCTTTTCCGGCACTGCCATGGCAGCAGCCCTGGGGCTCCACGCCGGGGACAGCGGAGGCGCACGACAGAGCACAGCAAAGGATAATCCCGTCTGCACGTCCATCCGTGTGGRCATGGAGTTACACCCAAGGGTGCGGAATGGAAAGCCAGCCCCCGACAAGGGCTGTCAAAGGGCATTTGCTTTCATTTGCGCTACCTAACTTAGGGAAGGGTCTCTACATCACAATGAAGTAAAACATTTTTGAGTGCTCACATCTACATGAAGATTTTTGAGTGTTCACATGACTCTTCTCCATTTTGCCACAGACTGGTTCTGTTTTTTCCACTTTAGTATTGCTGTTACTTTTAAAAAAATTCAAGATGATCTTCATTTTGAAATGATGAGAGTATTGATCCGTGATRTCTGCTAAAATAAACATTTTCTACTGTCCTCTCAAAGTCATATGGCTGCTGCAAATTTGACATGGGAAAGTWATTAGAGCATGTGTTAGAGTCAGAATAGCCTTCCTGCAAAAGGAAAATTGCAAAGGTGATGCCTGTGTTCAGGTTAATAAAGATTAAAAAAAATTAGGAGTTTAGAATAATTTAGTTCTATGCATTGTTTTTAGTAAATTCAATCCTATGAGAAACGTTAGAGCCAGTAAAGGTCAAGGTCATATTCCTTAATATGTAATGGAAAACAGAAGTGAGGTGACCTTACAAATTAATGGCATTTTTTTTTTTAACAGTAGCTAGATGGTTTGAGAACTTTAAATTGACTTATACAAAGACTATAGTTCTTTATTTAATTGTATAGGTCCGTTTCTATATGCTGGTTAGATACTTGAGTCTGCAGCTTCTTGTATGTATGTAAACTATCACAACAATCAGTAGGATTTGACACTAACATGACATATAACTGGCCTACAGATGACTTGGTTTGGATTTCATTCCAAGGCAATTTCCTTTCATATGAAAATGAAAAACAATACTTCCTTACTCTAGACTTTTTAGGTTTTTTTTTTTTTTTTTTTTGTTTTTATTTTTTTATAATGACTACTACTTCAATTGCAAAAAGACAGAAGAAGATACTTCTTTTTGAGTGGTAGTGTAAGTTAAAATATAACCAATTCATTCACCTGCTTGAGTGTAATCAGATAGGTCATTAGTTTGTCTCAGTGACAAAATGCACACTACTGATCATGATGTAAGACGGAGAAAAAAATCATTTTGATTTTTAATTTCAAGATGCAGTTTCAGTGCTTATATTAAAAAAAATCCACTCTTTCAGATTTGTAAACAGAACTAATTCCGCATAGATACTATTCAGATAAAATAAATGTGGAATATTACAGCAGCACTTTATCCAGATCCTTTTCTGGCTACAATTTGTAGGCACAAGCAGGCAGAAAATTGCCTTTATCCCAAAATAGGAAAATGAGTTTCTTAGGTTGCTGTTCATAAAGAGAAAAAAAAAGGAGGCAGAACATTTTTATTTTACTTAAGAAGGAGTGTTCTGTGGAACTGAAATAGGAACTTAAGGCCTTTCAAAGATGGGTATTAAGCATTAAGATACGCACTACTTTTTTTTTAAAAAGGATGCAATTTTCATCTAGAAGTTCTTTCAGAACTGGATTAATAATGAATCTCATTCTACTTTGAGTTGCTGTTTTAATAATTCTATTTCTCTATTTTTAAATAGTATATATTGCATCTTTTAAATATTAGAAAAAAAGAAAAAATCATGGCACTGATACTCTGCTTCTTAAACAGCTGCTGGAATACTGTCTTGATTATGTAGCACCAACTCTCCTTGTTTCCAGCTGCTAAATCCCATTAGCAGCAGCTAAAAATACATCAAACACTGACCAGGCATTACTTTTCTGTATAATCAATTCTTTTAGTTGTTATACGAATAAGAGAAGACAGAGCAATTTGATTAGCAACAAAACAAACTCTTTGTAGATATGTGTTCAGCAAAGTTGAAATATCTACAACAAAACACGCATGATTTCTAGGGTAATCAGGCACCTAATACCCCTTTAGAGGGTTTTTTTTTTCCGAATTCTTGAGCAAAGCACCRTCTCAGCTATGATTACTCATTAAGTTTCAGGACTGATAAATTTGCCAGTAGCATAATTGTGCCCTCAAGACCTATGACTGGCTAAAGGCAGATGACAAAGATGATACTAAAACACATCAGGGCACCCTGGAGCTGCAGTGTGGGGTTTAGAGACGGGCAGTGAGAAACAGTGGTGAAAATGTTTGACTCGGATGTTATCTTGGAAGATCTGAAAGWCAATGAGTTAAGACAGTGGCTAGACAACAATCCATACACACAACTATAGCAGCCAGTGATAGGATGTAAGATCCAGGGAATGGAGTCTCTTTTCCTTGGATTAAGCATACTAGCACTGCCTGTAACGTGATAAGGATCAGCAGCTAYGGCAAAGCTCTGCTTCTTACATTTTAGGAAAGTGAGAGATCAGAAAAAAAAATATTTTTTTTTTCTGAAAACATTTATTGGTTCAGAAGGCACCCATCTGTATTTGCAAATTACACTTTGCAAATTACCAGTGTGCACTTTGGGAGCCTGATATTAATTCCAAACACAGGAMAAGAACTGGTCTTTGTTGCCTAACAGCACTGCCACACTAATATGATGTCTTCTAGCTTTACATCTTATTCCAGAACACTTGTTGGGATTGATTTGTTTCAGATGTTGGGACAAGAATCCTTAACAAACTTTATTTTATTCAGAGGAATCTTTGACATGGGAGGCCAAGGTCTATATGGAAGACGATATGAAGATTTAGTAGGAGCAATACAAGGCACGCGACCTTTCTAAGCCTTTCCCCTGCATCTCCCACATCTTTACAAGGTGGTTACAGCACCTCTACATCTGCTTTTATTAAGTTCACAGYTTGTTAAGTTTATTACTAAGTTTATTGCAACACTGTGTTTCTGCCGCTTTTGGAGGTAGGATGAAAAATAATACATGCATGGCAGATGCTACTAAACATACAACAGCATTTGAAGGAAAACAAAAATGCAAAACGCCAAWCTGCACCTTTATCCCTCTGAAGGAGACACTGTGGAACAGTTTAGAGAGGCATCCAAAGAGCGGAACTTGACACCAATCCAAGGCCTGGTGTGTGGATGGGACACTAAGCACACGCAGCCCCCTGGAGCGCTCCGCCGCGGGAAGGGGATTTGAGCCTCCTCCGGCGCCGAGGAGCAGGCCGAGCTGGTCCCGCCTGTSCAAGTGTGCTGAGAGCAGAGAGGTGACATTATTTGGAACAGCTTAGTATGGTGAGAGGTTAATGTGGGTCGAGTTTAACGTAGGAGTGCAGCTTGTGGGCATTTTCATGCTGGCATTTATCCCCTGTTGTGTCACTAAGGGCTGTATTATTTAGACTTCAAGTCCACACACTTTATTGGAAAACGACACACAAAGATTCCATGCGGAGAAGAAGAAAGAAAGACAAAACCCAAACCCCCTCTCTCTCGTCCCCCACCCTTCTCCAGCGGCCGTTTTTTACCGCGCACGTTCAAATCCCCCTCCCAAGTCTCGCGAGAGGCGCGGCGCGGGCGGCGCCATGTTGGTGGCGGGCGGGCGCAGGGCAGCCCCTCCCCGCGCCGCGCGGCTCGCGGCCTCAGCCGGGGCCCATCCCGGAAGCGCCTTGCGGCCCCCTCCCCCCCTCGCCGGCACCCGGAGACGCCCCCTCCCCTCCCCCTCCGCTCCCCTCGGCGCGCGGCCGCACCTGGGGGGCCCCGCCCCTCCCCCGCCGCAACGGTCGCCCCGCGCCCCGTAACGGTCGCCCCGCCGCAGGCCCCGGGGCCGAGGCGGGCGGGCGATGCAGCCGCCGCCGCTGGAGCAGAGGCCCTCGCGCAGCACGGTGAGCGGGCGGAACCGTCACCCGGGCCGGGAGGTTGGGAGCGGCGCCGGCGCTGCCCTGGTGTCGGTGCGGGGAGCGGGCAGCGCCGTGGGGAGGGGAGGGAGCCCGTGTGGATCCGGCTCGCGTGGTGCTGCCGCCCGCCCACGCAGCGAGCGCACGGGGAAACTTCGGGCTCTGCTCTGCGGAGCTGTCGGGGCTGCGTGCTTGGAGCGGGGGGTTCCCGCGCTGGGCCGCAGACACCCGTTTCGTTGTTCCCAATGTGGGAAGTGCGGGTCAAAACGAGCAAGAGTTGCCCCTGCCATCTGGACGTGTTGACTGCAATATGATGCTGATGCTGCTGTGCTTTGGCACCCAGAGGTGGCTAGGCCTTAGTTATGCCCTGTCCAGGGTCTTGTCCTCAATTTGTCATCTTGTCTGTTTATGTCATCTGTTCTGAGGGAAAAAAAATGTATTTCTGTGATTAATCATTTTGTTTCATTTTGAAATAGATGCTTATAGTAGAAGGATGCTACTCTATGGCATCCCGCTGCTTCAGTATGTTATTTTGCTGTGTGGCTGGTGCTTTTTTTTCCCTTCGTTCAGGGATGATTTGTAGTCTAATATTGGCTCTCCTTTGCTTTAGCAAGGAGAAAACAAAGGGAGGAAAGGCAGTTGCTTAATGGCTTGGGAGTAACTATACTTTAGAGGATCCCTGGTGCCAAAAACATGGTACAGCCCAGTTTTGCCAGATGGGGACATGTGGCAAAACATAAGAAAAGGCACTGCATTCAAATAGGTCTGTGTATGCATAAGTTGCCTTTGAAGTTTAAATGTTAACTGGTTTCAAGATGCTGTTAATAAGCTTTTAATATATAGTGTATTTTTTTCTGCCTTAAAATTCAGCTAAAAAGATAACACTCTGTGATGCATTTATAGCATTTTAAGATTCATCAGTTTGAAATATTACAGTAGTTTTTCTCTCTTCTTCCATTCTAAATAAGTACTGAGAGCAAATAGGCTAAACTTTCTTGATGATTTATTGATGGGGAGGTCCATTATTTTTAGTGCTGATGATCACGACTGTGAAATTGAGTAGGAAGTTTACAGGCTTGTGTTCTGTAACAGGTCTGCTTGATCTGTTTTGTTTTGAGAGGATTTAGTGAGGTGATCAAAGGTCAACATCTCTTCTGACAGCTTTGATTTTGCTTTTCAGTTCTGTGAGAATAGCATTCCTTCCTCCCCCCCCAGTATATTTTAAGTTGACKTATTTCATGTAAAAAGAAGAAATGTTGAATTCATTTCCTCTTACTAGTGAGAAAGGAACATGATTCTTAACAAACATTGTGAAATATTTTATTTTTAAAGTCTGCTCTTCATCCTGGCCTGTGTCCATTGACAGCAGCAATCTGAAGAATGGTACAGCAGCCTATATCAATGTATGCATTGACTGTCATAAAACCGCCCATMAAATTATTATCAGAGTTTTTATATCTCCTGGTAAAAGGCAGTAAAATCAGAATTTCAGTCTGCCTTTAAATCTTTGTTTTAGGTACAATGGAATGGAAAGAAATGATGGACGTTATGGATGGAGGTTATGAACTGCAACTTTGCTTATTTATTTTTATCTAGTTTGGGTCATAAACTTTACTGTAAGTGCTAGCTGTAATGAGAGCACTGTGAGGTCTGTGCCCATTCTTTCACGTTGCTTTCTAGATTCCTTTCTTCTTTCATGAATCTTCATTTCAAGGAAGACAAGTTGATACTATTCCCCATTTTTCTCCAATGCATAGCTTGGTGATATCTGTGCTCTCTCCTTTGARGTGCAGAGTAACAATTTTTAGTTATAAATTATTCCTTTGAGTTTGTCCAGGAGGATGCATTAATATAATTCTCAATGTTTTGCAGTAATAGCTTTCCTATTCCTGCCTCCACACACGCACGCACACACACACACACACAAAAAAAAAAAAAAAAAAGGCAAAAAGCAAACAAACAAACAAAAACCCCAAATCCATATAGTGCTTGAATGAAATAAAGCTTTTGGTCTCATTGGCCTGTAGACACTTTTATTCACTTTAATCTTGTGATTATTCATTTTGTAGTTACTTTGAAGTTTCGTGGCTAACCCTAAAGCATGGCTTGGGGAAAATATTCTTGGTCAATTACATCAAGAGTCGGGTAACATCTATAGATTTTAGATACTGGATTTGGGGTCAGGTTTATGTTTTTATATATGTACTGTGCAGTGCATAATAAGCCTAAAACTTGTGAAGTTATTTTGTTACTTCTCAGAAAAGTGTTAGCATCAAATGGAATAAGAATTTAAGTCTTTACATTGTTAGCACCTCTTTAAAGAAGAGAATCAAAGACTTTTAATAAAGATATTTTAGTGGTGATCCTGAATTGATTATATCCAACAAATTTTGATTAAAGTGAAATGCATTCAATCTATATGCTTAGTCATCTGACTTAAGTACAGTAGGACACATTTTACTTGAAGAATATTGTATAGGCACTCTTAATCACTGCAGTGAGTCTGAAAAGTGTGATGTCTGGTGTGTGCACACATATAATAAAGATGTATGTAGTAAAATACTTCAATTTTTTGTTACTTGAGACGTTTAAAAGGCAGGTAACAGAATGAAACTAATGGAGAGTTTGTATACAGCCTCAGACTTTTTCATAAGAACCTTGTGGACAGCTGTTGAATGCAGGTATTTTGAAGCTCATAAAGCAGAGCTATCCACTGTGCCTTGTGGTTTTCTGATTTTTTTTTTTTTTGGTCCCTCTCTTTACACAAACAGAAAATATTGGAAATTGGGAGTATTGATTAGCACAGCATACTGATATTGGGATGTTACTTTTAAATCACATCAAACTTTCTGATTTTTTTTTCTTGTTTGCTGTCCTGCAGCGGTCTGCATAATGTACTTATTATTTCACTGTGGATGTAATAGACTAAACTCTGTTTAAAGTTAGCCATGTTAATCTTTAGATCATTTTGTTGGAATGGAATGTACAGTGATGTTGCAGTCCACTTCATATGTTTAAAGCATTATTTTTAGATGGAAAGATGAGAGTTTAGGTATTCTTACTTAAAGTTTAGTCTCATTTACGCAAGGGTTGGACATGTTGGTTCAGAACATTTCCAGAGCAGGTGCTTGTATTCTGCCAAACATTATTGTATCACAGCTGTCCTTTGAAAGGCTTCCGAATTACGCTAGCAGTGTTATGCAAATATGTGTCTCTAGTTTTAGACAAAAGACACAAGTCAGACCAGGTACTTCCCTTTTAGCAGGGTCAATGGTACTGATTATCCCTTCTGATTTCTTAGTCTGTATGAGATGGATGGGTTGTCAGCTACTCCCACTCTGTGTTGGTCAGTACTTAAAAGATGGCACTGTAGTGGACATATGAGTCTCTTGTATACCATAAAAGCATCACCAAGGCCTCTCTATTAGTAGGAGAAACTGAACTATACCTTGCAAAATTCAGTATGTAGTATGGTGCTGAGGCAAAGTTAGAATGCTGCCAATAAAGTGTGTAGTTCAGGATGGACAGTGAGTTAATATCATGTGCGTGTTTCATGTCAGGATTGAACTGACTTTTCAGTATTCATGCATTTGGTTGATTATTAATTTGAATGGTTTTCCCCCTTCAAGTCGTGTTTCACAATGGCCAACAGATTTTTTCTCTTTTATGCTGCATTTTTTTTTTTATCTTCATTAAGTTTATGTATAGTTTTGTGTTCTTAAGCAGCATGCTTCTTGGATTGCAGGTAGGCTTTATTTTATTCAGCAACTGTATTTAAAATAGTGCTATTTAAAAAGTCATCTTCAATATATTATTAGATTTTGTCATATAACTCTATAGTAGAAAAAAATTATTTGCCCTTTGCAACCTCTGAAAAGAGGAAAATGTGTTTATAAGCCACATGGTGAAGCTACAGACTAGAGTTAAATTTATTTTATTATAATAGTGTTCAGTACCCTAACCAACATACTTTAAGAATATTTTTCCTACCTGTGGACTTACTGATGGAAAATTAAGATTTTTTTTTTAAAAAAACGCTCCTTAGCAGGTTTTATTTAATCAATCCTATTCCACACTTAATAACATTTAGCAAAACGATTGCTTTCAAATCAAATTGCATATCCACTAAAAATGTATATTAACTTGATAACTGGCATAATTCCTGTGAAATCGTGCTCAATCCATGCTTACTTTCAGGAGAGAGGAGGGGGGAAATAATTCTACCAGTATTTGTTTTGGATATTGTAGCAAGAAAAATATGGATACTTTTCTAAACTGTTTTCAGTGATGATTGTTTCAAATTTGATGGTAAGATCGCAGCAGTGCTATTAGTTTAATCTAGTTGCAAATTGAAGGTTTCATTCTTTTCTTGGTTATCTTCTAAAGTATTTTTCCTGAAGTCTCATTTGTTTGAAAAAATTGTACTAGTTTACAGCATCTTAGTTTTCTGAAAATAGCTTGCAAATATCTGGCAAAAGATCTCTTTTATTCTACGTATATCATAGCATTTGTTGCATTATGTATAAATCTTCAAATGTAATTGAAAAAAAAAAAAAAAAAAAAAAGCTTGTAGGCTGTGGCTTAACTCAAGCTGTAGATGTTTCCTTCTGGTACTTAGGAGTTAGGGATCCTCCTTGGTTTTCAGCATTGGTCAGGGGATCAGTAACAGTTCAAAAGTGAAGGATGTTGTTCTTTGTTTACGTGGATTCTGTGCAAGTTTAGAAAGGGATTTTAAATTTGTTTTTCATGAAATTCAACTTACAGAAATAGTTAGTAGTGCCAGGCACTGGATTTAATGTTTCAATGCTGCTAATGCCAGACCAAAAATGACATGTGCAAATAAGACAAAGCATTGATTTTATACAGTTTTGCTCTGTTACTTTATGCTTGTTCAAAAATGGTAATGGATTAATTTTCTACTAGATGAGTTATAGGAAACTTCGCTAGGTGAAGTTTATTACCTTTCTTCCAGTTGCTGAGTTGAAAGT